GGACCAGGGACTCCAGACATTCAGCCTGTTTGGATTTTTTAAGTCACCTTAACGAACATAGCAAATAACCAACCATTTAATTAAATGACATTTTGAAAGGAATGAACTAAGGCATTTTGAATTAAATGGCTAACATAGGTAGTGAGGCATGCCTGAATCCTTTGCAGAGCTTTGAATTCATTTCTAACGGTATTTGTGGTTGCTTTTGCATACATGTCCAATACACCCAAACCGTTGCGATTCGTCACACCGGATGTCGAATCGTGTGTTAACATACCGGAAGTCGAGAGGCATAAGCAATATGCAAAATTACCATGGTATGCCGGAAGTCGAATCGTACGTTAACATACTGGAAGTCGAGGGGCACGCACGTGAGCAACGAGTGAAGATGAGTGACATGGCATGGTACAAGGGCATGACAACATGAACCTTCCATGTCCTAAAGCTGGAAACACCGGAAGTCAATTGTCAGAATTTTCTGAACCATACAGTGTAGAAAATTTTGACGATTTGACACATCAACAGATCTGTCAACAGATCAGTGAATGAAAACGAGGAGGGGGGTGAATAAAAAGAATAATTCCCCCAAAAAGTATTAAGGCATAATTCGCCGTTCCCAAACATTTTTTTACGGTTTGTATCCGTCCTTGGCCGCTTCGACTAAGGCTGGCGCTGCTACAGCTATCATGGTTGACGAGGCTTGGGGAGAGTACGCCGCAGTAGCCCGCCAAAATTCAGCTTTAAGCAACGCGAACTACAAACCTAGTACGGCTGAGAAGTTTAAAACCAATAAGCGTCTTCGCGGTAGTTTTTGCACGTCTAAAGACTCAAAATGACTTCGTTCAAAGAGACGAGGGATTCCGACGTTTGGAAAAAAAAATTGTAAGCGATCCTGTGCACAGTGAATGAGGGAATTAAAATATTTAAGGAGGCTGGATATGGTTTCTTTGGCGCGCGCAGACTGGGTTCTAATTAAACCGGGACTTTTAAAAAGTTGCAAACACAAACAAACATGGCCGCCGCGCTTAGGCCAAAATCATTTTTTCATCTGCCTAGTACACTATGTTTTACGCTTATAGGTAGGCTGCCTACACTTTCTTCTAACTTTATTGTACTGTGTTTCAAAAACGGAAAGCTACAACACTCTCAAGTGACCAAAATACGCGTGAATCCGGCCGCAAACACGATCGCGATCGTCGGAGCTATTTTCCCATATCGTGGCTGGTTTCCGGAACACTAAATAGGTGCTATCTACATGCAATATCAGCAGCTACGCTTCTCGAGTCAACAAGTCACTGTCAAACCTGTGAATGGTGAGAGAACTTTGCTCAAAGAGAA